TGCCTTTCAGATGGCAATAGATTGGTTATGATCCTTTTTATGGTAACCTACAAATAAGCTGATGTTAATTCTTTTCCCTCTGTAAAATGTAACTCAGATTCATTGAAATGTCCTCAATTAGCTAATGTTTATTTTTGCAATAAGAACCATTTTATTATATTGGAGTCAACTGAGATTTTGGTAGGATGAGAAGTTCCTCAATTTAGCTCCTTCCCCAAATAAAAGAAGTGTCCCCAGGGGCAGGGAATTATAATCCAAAAAGGGGGAGAAAGTAATGTGTAGAGTGTGTGTGTGTGTATGTGTCTATTTTTGCTTTGCAGCTTTTGTAGATTGTTAATGCATTTATGCTAATGCAGCTTGCAAAGCTCAGTGACATACAGATGGAACCTCTGTCACTGTTGAATTTCATCACTGAAGCCTGGCAACAGGTAAATCTCTTGCAGAGTCTTCATAGTAGACTAGTGTTCATATAAAAATAACATGTTCTTACTGCTGTGGCTCTATTACTGTAGATTGTTGAATGTAGGAGAGTTCTAAAATGGACATATGTCTATGGATATAATTTACCCGAGCATGACCATGCAAAAAAGCAGTTCTTCGAATACCTGCAAGGTATGTCTCTCTTTCTCCCTCTAGAAGCTATGAGTCTGACATTATGTGCCTGTTTAACCAGTCTATTTATGTTATGCAGGTGAGGCTGAGTCTGGATTAAAACGGCTTCATCACTGTGCAGAGGTGGGGTTGCAAGTTTTCCTCTATGCAGAAGGCCAGTCAAAAGAGGAGTTCATTGAATTTCGCCAAAAACTTGCAGGACTAACGAGGTAATGTTTATATGAAATGTATTCAGATTCTAAATTTTCTCATTGGAATTCTTCATCGGGTAGACTTGCTAAGTAACTTATTTAGAAGTTTAATGGTGGTACTTAATCTTGTGATCTCAATAACAATAGTGTGACACGGAATTACTTCGAGAATTTAGTTCGAGCTCTTGAGAATGGTCTTTCAGATGTGGACTCCCATGGTAGTAGCGGATCAGGTAGCTCCAATAACACAGGAAGTGGGAGCGGTAAGGAAAGAGGTGGGAAGGGCGAAGGTTCAACATCAAGATCATGTGCTAGCAGAAATATTAATGATGCAGACTACTGGTCCTGTGAACATTGCACCTTTGCAAATGTCAACTCAGCCACCACTTGCCAGATGTGTGAGCGACAGAGGTAAATCTCAAGCCCTGCGCTTTTGATGCTAAGTTTGATGGCTAAGAACTTTTGTGTGTCAGCAGGAGAGCGAACTGTTTTCCCAATCCACCATTCCAACGACAGATGGTATCTATTGGCCGCAGCAAAAACTGAAATAAGCAAAACCTTTTTACCTTGGCATCAACTTTCCTGAGGTGCTTATGCATGTGTAATTGGCCTTAACTGCTGATTGCTGAGGTGTTTTCTCAGGAAAAGGTACCTTGTGTAACATGTATATATATACATGTATATATACAAGGAAAAGCACCTGGATTCAATCTTCAGCTGGAACTGAATCTTTGAATGGTGCTCTCAATTGTGTAAACCGCACACACACACACACACACACAAAATGCTCTGTAAAAATTCAAAGACTAACGTCAAGCCCTAAACCCGCAATTCATGAATGAAGTCCATTGATATTCCACCATCTTAGAATTCTTCCACCAACGTCCTTTCTATTTCTGTTTGCATCGACTTTTTGTGTCACATGTGAATGATAGTTGAAATTTTTTTAATTAAATAAAACTACTTAACAAGTATTATTTATTAAAAAATAGAGAAGTTAAATTATTATTTATATGTAAAAGTATAACCTAAAATTCCGTGCAAAGTTAATTATATAGATAAATAAGAATTTAATGAATACTAAACTAAAGAATCATTGAGGAATGGGTATTTCTTTTCCTTCCATATTTTTTTAGAAATATATATCCTTAGAATTTTTAGGAGTCTTTCTGTTTCTTTATTAATGTAAAAAAAAAAAGAGAGAATAAAATTAGACATTAAGATTTTGCTATTTTTAGTTTTCTATGAAAATTTTTTAATTAACTCATTTTTATAATTTAAATAAAAAATAATCATTATCATAAAAAAAACAAGTCCTTAAGCTCTACATTCTCCCTTCTTGACAAAACAGACATTAAGAAAAAAACAAAAAAACTCTCTAATTTAAGTTCTAAATGCGAAACATCTGTGAAGGGTTTGGAAAAGGGTAAAGGTATGATGCATGGGTGGCTTAAGTTGTAAGATGGTTGAAGTGGTCCTTCATGCTTGGTGTGAGTTTGAGTTAACATTATTTTATCTTAAGATAAAGCTTGTGATTTGTTTAGTATAGTAATATTTGAATCAAGTTATTATATTAAAAAAATTAACATTTTAAATTCATACAATATTTATTGTGAAAATCTTTGTATAAATTAAAACAAATATGTATTTGATAAGAGTTTAACCAAATAAGTGATCACTAATGTAAAAATTTTGATTTGAGATCAATATTATCAATTCAAGATTTTGCAATTCTACAATGCAAAATAGTTAACAAACTATGTACAAAAAAGAATATGCGTTTATAGTGTGCATGTCCTAATCAAACAATAGTATTCATTTTATCATGAGGCCTTTTAACATAAATCCGTTTGCATATAGAATCACATTATTTGGTGGGGACGAATAAAGCTTAAAGGCAAACGGCATTGCAACGCATTTCGCTTGTAATATCTCTTGTTATGCCCATCTTGTGTTCTATCTATCAACACTGATTGTTGCAAAATTTGCGGAGAATTGACTGAAAAAAAAAGAGAAAATTCTCAACAATAGCAATAGTAATATTAAAGTGTAAACAAAAATGATATAATTATAATATTATATAAATTTA